TAGTCCTGGAGCTTCAAGTTTGGCACACATCTGAAGGCCACACAAGTACTCTTAAGAAACAGGCTGAGGACATCAATTTTGCACTCTCCCTATGCCTTGCTACAGCTCACTAGTATTTCCCAGAAAGTTCACATTCATCTGAGTCCCACTTATTGTGACTTGGCAAGTAGACACCTTCAGACTGCATGGCTCTGGTAGCCAACAGGGCTTACAGTAATGGTCTTACGGGATTATGGATATTTGGATATTTTAAAAGCTGCTGCCTGAGGGTCTGGCTTTCAAACATCTGAATCTTGGTGTTGACTGAGGTCCTCCCCTTTGGCACACTGGTATTAAATACCCTCAACTACTCGGAGCTACTAAGAATAAAATAGGCTACTTGGGCAATCACAAAGGTTTGAGATAAAACTATGACCTAGGGCAAAGGTTGAACAATAAGGTTCGTCTCCTACACAAGGCTGACACTTCAAGATTGAGAGAAGTAACTGTTTCATCTAATGTATAGAAACCAACACAGAGTTAAGCAGTCAAGCAAACAGAAGACAAAATAAGCTCCAAATGAAAGAACAAGATAAGACTGCAAGAAATAAAACTTAATAAAAACAGATATAAGTAATTTATCTGATAAAGGGCTCAAAGTAATAGTCATAAAGATGCTCATCAAACTCAGGAGAAGAATGGATGAACACAGTGAGAATTTCAACAAAGAGGTAGAAAACAGAAAAATTCCAAAAAGAAGCCACAGAATTAAAGAATACACTAAATTAAACGGAAACATATACTACAGAGGTTTAACATCAAACTAGATAAAACAGAAGAAAGGATTAGTCAACTTGCAGACAGGGCAGAGGAACTCACCCACTAAGAGCAGCAAAAAGAAAAAATAATGAAAAAAGGTAAAGGTACCTTAAGGGACTTCGGGACAACATCAAGTAGACTAGCATGTGCATTGTAAGGGTCCCAGAAAGAAAACAAAGAGTGAGAGGGGCAAAAAATTTATTTGAAGAAATAATAGCTGAAAACTTCTGTAACCTGAGGAAACACCCAGATCCATGAAGCACAGTGAGTTTTGAATAAAAGAAACCCAAAGAGATCCACATCAAGACATATTAGAGTGTCAAAGGTTAAAGACAAGAAGAAAATCTAAAAGGAGCAAAAGAAAAATAATTTGTTATACAACAGGGAACCACGATACTATCAGCAGATTTTACAGGCCAGCAAGATGTGCTAAATAATGTTCAAAGTGCTAAAAGAAAAACATTTCCAACTAAGAATACTCTACCCAGCAAAGTTATTCAGAATTGAAGGAAGAATAAAGTCTTCCAGAAAAGCAAAAGCTAAGAGTTCGCTGTCACTAAGCTGGCCTTACAAGAAATGTTAAAAAGATTTAAGCTGAAAACAAAAGGCACTAATTTAAAAAGAAAACATATGAAAGTATTAATCTCACTGAGAAAAGTAGTTATGTAGTAAAGGTAGAAGATTAATCACTTATAAAGCTAGTAGTAAAATTAAAAGACAAAAATAGTAAAAATAACTGTAATTACATTACTTAAAAAATACACAAAATTGGACATAAAATGTATAGTCAAAAACACAAAACATAAGGGAGAGTAAAAATGTAGGCCTTTAGAATGCATTTAAACTTGTTATCAACTTAAAATAGACTATCATAAGTATGTTTTTACATGTAAGCTTCATGAAAACCACCAAGCAAAAACAGTACATACACAGAAGATAATAAGAAATGAATTAAAGCATACCACTAAAAAAACTCATCAAACCACAAAGGAAGAGAGCAAGAGAAGAACGGAAGAACTAGAAAATAGCCAGAAAAAAGTTAAAATAGCAATAAGTACATATCTATCAATTATCACTTTAAATGTAAATGCTATAAATTTTCCATTAAGAGACAAAGGGTAGGGATCCCTGGGTGGCGCAGTGGTTTGGCGCCTGCCTTTGGCCCAGGGCGTGATCCTGGAGACCCGGGATCGAATCCCACGTCGGGCTCCCAGTGCATGGAGCCTGCTTCTCCCTCTGCCTATGTCTCTGCCTCTCTCTCTCTGTGTGTGTGACTATCATAAATAAATAAAAATTTAAAAAGAAAAAGAGAGAGAGACAAAGGGTAATTGAATAGATAAAAAACAAGAGCCATCATTCTTTTAAAATGCATGTGGAACATTTTCCAGGATAGATCCCACATTACACCACAAAACAAATCTCAATATTTAAGACTGAGATAATCCAAGAATCTTTTTTGACCAACAGTATGAAACTGGAAATAAGAAGAAGAAAACTGGAAAAAACACAAACACATGAAAGCTAAACATGGTACTAAACAAACAATGGGTCTCAAAGAAAACAAAGAGGGATCAAATACCTGAGGCAAATGAAAATGGAAACACAATGGTTCAAAATCTTTGGAATGCAGCAAAAGCAGTACTAAAAGGGAAGTTTATAGCAATATAGGCCTGGCCCATCTCAAAAAACAAGAAAAATTTCAAAGAAACAATAAAACTGTACACATAAAGAAAATAGAAGCACTTGATGGGATGAGCACTGAGTGTTATACTACGTGTTGGCAAAATGAGGTTAAATTTTAATAATTTAAAAAAAAAGAAAATTGTTTTGAACTGAAAAAAAAAAAACAGAAAATAGAAAAAGTACAAAGCCCAAAGTTAGTAAAAGAAAGGAAATAATAAAGATTAGCTTGAAAATAAATGAAGTAAAGTCTTAAAAAAACTAGAAAAGAACAATGAAGCCAAGAGCTGGTTCTTTGAAAAGATAAACAAAATTGATAACCTTTACCCAGAGTCATCAAGAAAAAAAAAAGACTAAAATAATATCAGAAATGAAATAGAAGTCATAACCCACACCACAGAAACATAAAGGATTATTAAGCTATTATAAATATATGCTGACAAATTGGACAACCTAGAAGAAATTAATAAATACCTAAAAACACAGTTTTCCAAAATGGAACCAGGAAGAAATAAATAATCCAAACAGACTGATTACTGGTAATGAACCCGAATCATTAATCAAAAACCTCCCAACAATTCCAGGACTAGATGGTTTCACTGGTGAATTGTACTAATCATTTAGATATCAAATTCTTCCAAAAATTCAAAGAGGGGGATCCCTGAGTGGCTCAGCAGTTTGGCACCTGCCTCCAGCCCAGGGCATGATCCTGGAGTCCTGGGATCAAGTCCTGCATCAGGTTCCCTGCATGGAGCCTGCTTCTCCCTCTGCCTGTGTCTCTGCCTCTCTCTGTGTCTTTCATGAAAAATAAAATCTTTAAAAAAAAAAAAATTCAAAGGGAGGAAATGGTTCCAAATTCATTTTTTAAGGCCAGCATTACCCTTATACCAAAACCAGACAAAGACAGTGCAAAAAAAAAAAGAAAGAAAGAAAGACAGCAAGAAAAAAAGAAAAAAATTACAAACATCATCCTTGATGAGCTGATACAAATATCCTCAACAAAATATTAGTAAATTGAATTCAACAATACATTAAAATGATTATTCGCCATGATTAAGTAGGATTTGCTCCAGGGATGTAAGGATGCTCCAATATCCACAAATAAATCAACAATGATGCATCACATTCAGAAAATGAAAGGCAAAAATCATGCGATCATCTCAATAGAAGCAGAAAAGGCATATGCCAAAATTCAACATCCATTCATGATCAAAACCCTCAACAAAGTGGGAATTGAGGAAACATACCTTCACATAATGAAGTCCATTTCTGAAAAGCACACAGCTAACGCCATGCTCAATGGTGAAAGTTGAAAGGTCTTTCTCTAAGATCAAGAGCAAGACAGGGAGGCCCACTCCTGCCACGTTTATGCAACATAGTATTAGAAGTTCTAGCCACAGCAATTAGGCAAGAAAAATACACAAAAAGCATCCAAACTGGTAAAGAAGTACAACTGTCACTATTTGCAGCTGACATACTACATACAGAAATCCCTATGATGACACAAACAAAACTATTAAAATAATGAATTCAGTAAAATTGTAGAACACAAAGCTAATATACAAAAATCTGTTGCACTTCTAGCAGAAAGAGAAATTATAGGAAAAAAATCCCATTTACAATTCATCATAAAGAATAAAATACCGAGGCTGAGGAAAAAATTTATCCAAGGAAGTGAAAAACCTGTATTATGAAAACTGTAAGAAATAGGAGAATGAAATTGAAGAGGACACAAAAAAATGAAAAGAAATTCCACACTCATGGATTGGAAGAATTAATCTTGTTAAAATGTCCATACCACCCAAAGCAATCTACAGATTCAATGCAATCCCCAACAATATACCAATAATATTTTTCACAGAACTAGAACAAATAATTCCAAAATTTGTATGGAACCACAAAAGACCCTGAAAAGCCAAAGCAATCTGGATAAAGAATAAAGCTAAAGGTATCACAGTCTCAGATTTAAAACTATATTACATAGCTACAGTAATCAAAACAGTATGGTACTTGCACAAAAACAGTCAGTGGAACAGAAACGAGCACAAAAATAAAACCATGCTTATATGGTAAATCAGTATGCAACAAAAGAGGCACAAACACACAATGGGGAAACAACAGTCCCTTCAGTAGAGAAAACTGATGCTGGGAAAATTGGAAAGCTACATGCAAAAGAATGAAATTTTATTTATCGCTGTACCATTATTTTTTCAAGTATTCCCCTGACGCTGGAACTGTAAATTTTTGTGGGAAATTGAGATCTCTCTGAATAACTGTGACCAATGGGGAAATGCAGATAAAAAGACAACATATAGTTCAACCAAACCTTAGAAAATAGAAATTGTCAGCTGCCTGCTAGACGATCCCTAACACCCTCTCCTTCCAATTGCAACATCTTTCATAAACTCCTGTTTAATAGTCCCTCATCATTGTTACAGCCCATACCCCACAGTAAACACCAACTTCTCATTCTTCACTGATAAGTATCATGGGTATTTTTGCACTGGGGGAGGAAAACTTACCTGTCAAAAGCAGCAATATTCACAGCATACCAGAGTAAGTGCCAAAGTATCCACCTAGAACAGCAGAATAATAACAGATTAACAGATTCAAATCTTTGGAACTATACAAGTATGCAAAATCACCTCCATTTTTTTTAAATTTTTTTAATTTTTTTTTTTTATTTATTTATGATGGTCACACACAGAGAGAGAGAGAGAGAGAGGCAGAGACACAGGCAGAGGGAGAAGCAGGCTCCATGCACCGGGAGCCCAACGTGGGATTCGATCCCGGGTCTCCAGGATCGCGCCCTGGGCCAAAGGCAGGCGCTAAACAGCTGCGCCACCCAGGGATCCAAATCACCTCCATTTTGGAGTCTGCCATGATGGGTAACTTACTGTCTAACATTAAAAACACAGAATTAAGGGGGGAAAAAAAACAGCATGGATTTATAAGGAAGTTTAGGATTTGGGAAACTATTGAGGTAAACCTTTCATTTAGCCTGAATTCTAATCATCCTAATAAGCTCAAGGAGCCCCATGTCCTAAGACAAAAACTTCTATATTGCTTCAATTAGGAGACAGCCCTTTGAATTTATATTTATAGAAAAAGGTAAACATGATAATATATGCCTAAAACACACAGTTCTGTTAAATTTCCTATTTTGTGTGAAGGACAAAAATCACTGATACATACGTGTAGTTCCTCAAAAAGTTAAACAGAGAATTACTCTATGATCCAATAATTCCACTTCTGGGTACACATCCAAAAGAACACAAACAGGTATCTGTGTAACAATGCTCATAACACTATTCACAAAAGCCAAAAGATGGAAATGACTCACATGTCTACTAATAGGTAAATAAAATGTGATATACACATACAGTGAAATATCATTTAGCCTTAAAAAGGAAGGAAATTCTGCAACATAACATGGATAAACCTTAAAGACATCATGCTACATGAAATAAACCAGATACAAAAGGACAAATACTGTATGATTCCGTTTATATGAGTTACTTGGAATAGTCAAACTCGGAGACAAAAATTGGATGGTGGCTGTCAACAACCGGAGAGAAGGGCACTATGGTGTTATTATTTAATGAGAACAAGGTTTCAGTTTGGAAGATAAGAGGATGGTGGTGGTAGCTGCACAATAATATAAATGCACTTAGGTCACTGAATTGTACAGTAAAAATGTTTAGAATGCTAGATTTCATGAAATGTACGTTTTACCACAATTTAAAAAACAAAAACTCTGAAGCAAACAAACACCAAGTCAAAACACAGAGTTCTAACAAATCAGGCCAAAGGATAATAATGAGGCCTTGGGCATCGTATGTAAAATAGAGATGCAACTTTTTCTAGGGAGCTGTGTTATATAGCTTTCCTCAGTTTCTCAAAATGTTCAGAGATCCTAAAAATACTTTTATTACCACTACCTTTAATCCAACGAGAAAAGTATGAAAATAATTTTATCAGGATTTTATTAAACTACTATCTCCAGCACGCCCCAATCAATACAGAACCAGCATACTTACATTCAAGCCCTGCACACAAAAACCTTCATATAAACTTCTGCTGGTATGAGGTAAGCACCTACTATTTGACTGTCCAATATGACTCTCACAAATCTAATGCAATGTATTAAACATGAGTAAGAGAATATGCAAATAGCTTCTAGGAGTCTATTTGAAATACAAAATTAAATGAACCAACAAAGCAAGTTATAGTATATTTTTCAAGGCACAAGAGTGGAGAGACACCAGTGTCTGAAACGATGAAACTATAAAGTTAACTACAGTATCAGGGACTCAGACATCACACTAAGCAGTGTCAGTTTCCATAACCCCCATGATTTAACAACAGCAGCCCAAACTGCCACCTGGAAGCCTTTTATAGGAAAAGATGGGCAGTCCTGACAACACAAAAATGCAAAACATTAGTATAGTAAGAAATACAAAACAAAGTTAACAGGCAAATAGACTGAAAATATCTGCCACATATCTAGCAGCCAATGAGTTAATATCTCTACACAAAGAACTCCTACCAATCTATAAGGAAAAGACAAAACTCAATAGGGAATGGACAAATTACATAAACTGGTTCCCCCTGCTCAGTTTTTCAATTATTAAAATGCTGTGGGCAGCCCCGGTGGCTCAGCGGTTTAGGGCGTGTCTCTGCCTCTCTCTCTCTCTCTGGTCTCTCATGAATAAATAAATAAAATCTTAAAAAAAATAAAAATAAAAATAAAATGCTGCTCACAGGTTCTTGACAGCATGTTTTCCCGGGCCTGGTCTTTTCTACACATAACAGTTATGGTTCAACTCACTCTCTGCATCACCCCTTCAGACCTATAACCTGGTCTCCAAGAAGAGTAAAAATTAACCTCATGTGATTTTTATTTAAAAGAATTATATCACAATCTACAAGACTTGTCACATGTCTGATACAGGACCTGGAATATACAAAGAACTCTTACAGGAGCAGCTAGCTGGTTCAGTCAGTGGAGCATGCAACTCTTGATCTCGGGGTTGTGAGTTTGAACCCCACGTTGGTTGCAGTAATTGCTTAAAAATAATCTAGGGGGATCCTTGGGTGGCGCAGCGGTTTGGCGCCTGCCTTTAGCCCAGGGTGTGATCCTGGAGACCCGGGATCAAATCCCACGTCAGGTTCCCGGTGCATGGAGCCTGCTTCTCCCTCTGCCTATGTCTCTGCCTCTCTCTCTCATTCTGTGTGACTATTATAAAATAAATAAAAATTTTTTAAAAAAATAATAATAATCTAGGGCTGCCCACCCAGGTGGCTCCGCGGTTTAGCGCCTGCCTTCAGCCAAGGGCGTGATCCTGAAGACCTGGGATCAAGTCCCACGTCAGGCTCCCTGCATGGAGCCTGCTTCTCCCTCTGCCTGTGTCTCTGCCTCTCTCTCTCATGAATAAATAAATATAATCTTTAAAAAACAAAAAAACAGGTGATGACAAGTGCTGGTGACAACATGAAGGGATTAGAACCCTCATATACCGCCAATCAGAATATAATAGACACTTTGGAAAGTCTGGCAGTTCCTCAAAATGTGAAACATAGAGTTACCATATGACTGAACAATTCTAATCTTAGGTATATACCCAAGAGAAATGAAAACGTGATGATGCTTACACAAAAACCTGGACATAAACGTTCCTAGCAGCGGTATTCATAATGGCCAATACTCAAAGGTCTACCAATGACCAATGGATAAGGGGTAGTATATCCATACAATGAGATACTATCTAGCAGTAAAGTGGAATGAAGTGCTGATACAAGGTACAACATGCTGCATAGGCATATATATAGACAGCAGATTAGTAACTGCATAGGGGTAGGAGCTCGGGGGAGTAGGGGAAAAATCAGAAGATTCCTCATGGGTCAAGGCTTCTTTCCGGGGTGATGAAAATACTTTAAAATTGATTACAGTAATGACCGCACAACTTTGTAAGTATACTAAAAATCAATGTATATTTTAAACAGGTAAATGCTACAGGTATGTGAACTATTATCTCAATTAAGCTGTTACTTCTTAAAAGGATTTTCTTTCTAGCGTATCCCTCCCTAGCTCTTAGGACAGTCCCTGGCAATAATAGGAATTCAATAAACTTTGACAAAATGGAAAAATAAACTTCAAAAGGCAGGTAAACCATTGCAAAACCTTGACACGCCCAAAGTAATGAACTTGCTACATACTGTAGCTGGAGCATATGGTGTGTGTGTGTTGGCGTGTTTTCCATCAAAGGAGACTGAAAAACTCAGCATCAGCAAGGAGACCTTGAAAGGTCTGGAAGCCAGGCTAAGGAATCCGCATTGCCCTGAATCAACAGGAAGGCCGGTAAGATTGTGAGCATGGGAATAACACGATCAGATGGATTTTCTATGTGCAGAGTTTAAGCAGAGGTTTGTTAACTTATTTTTTTTTTTAGATTTTATTTATTTATTCACAAGAATACACAGAGAGGAGAGGCAGAGACACAGGCAGAGGGAGAAGCAGGCTCCATGCAGGGAGCCCGACGTGAGACTCGATCCCAGGACCCCGGGGTCACGCCCTGGGCCCAAGGCAGGTGTCCAACCGGTGAGCCACCTGGGCTGCCCGGTTTGTTACTTCTATACAAATGTGAAATAGAGGGGGAAAAAAGTGCCTTAGTAATAAAGCACAAGTTAAGAAAGAGGAACATTCAAGGAGCAAGTATCAAAGTATAAGAATCTACGTATTTTTAATATTATGCACGACACACCGACTGACGCTCATACATGCTCGCATGTCCTTGTCTCCAACAGTCAAAAGCCATTTCTACTGTCAGAACCCTGCATGGAATTCAAGGGTGATGGGGACTAAAGTCACCATGACCAACTGTCAGAAAATTCTTCTCTATGATCATCGAGGCAGGGTCTTCCTCACAGGGTTGTAACTCAGGACCATCAACAAAGTGCCCGATTCCACCGCTCAGAGGGGACGCCCCACTCTTCACAAATGTGCTCTCAGGAACGCAGGGCCAGGTAGGGCCAGGTAGGGCAGGGGAGGGTAGGGCCGGGTAGGGCCGGGTAGGGTAGGGTAGGGCAGGGCCGGGTAGGACCGGGTAGGGCAGGGCAGGGCCGTCCAGGCCGGGCAGGGTAGAGTAGGGTAGAGCAGGGCAGGGCCGGCCGGGCAGGGTAGAGTAGGGTAGGGCCAGGCAGGGTAGGGTAGGACAGGGCTGGGTAGGGTGGGGCAGGGCAGAGTAGGGTAGGGTAGAGTAGGGTAGGGCAGGGTTAGGGTAGGGCAGGGCAGGGCAAGGCCAGCTGCTGGCGGCCCCGAACCCCGGGGCGGGCGCGGGGGGGGGGGCACCCTGCAGCCCCTGGCAGCCCCCTGCAGCCCCCTCGGGCGCTGCGCCCACAGGGGCCCCGACACCACGCAGGCAGCAGGCGGGGCGCCCCCGCGACGGCTCAAGCCCCGAGAGGTGACCCCCGCCGGCAGCCGCGTCGCGCGCACACACACACACACACACACACACACACACACGCAGCCGTGCAGGCTGCGGCGACAAACGTCTCCGAGGGTGAAAGGAAAGCGAGGCTCGGAGCCGCGGGGGCGCTGACCTTTCCGGGCCGCAACCGCGCGCCGCAGGAAGCGCGCGCCTTCCTTCCTTCCGGGAGCGGAAGTGCGGGTACGCGCGCCCCCAGGCCGGCCCGCCCCGCCCCGCCCCGCCCCGCGAGGAGCAGCGGAGACTTCCGGCGCGGCGTCCCCGCGGGCTAGAGCGTCCGGACGCGCGGGCGGGGGCGGGGGCGGGGGCGGGGCACGCCGGGCTCGCGGGTCGGAGTCGCGGGCCGAGGCCGCCGCGGAAGGCTCGGCCCCGCCCGGGGAGCGAGGTGGGCCCCGCAGAGCCCGCCCTTCTGTCCCGCCCGCCCGCCGCGCCCCTGCGGCAGCCCCCGCGGGCCCACTCGCCGCCTCCGCCTGACACACCGGCAGCACGACAGTCTTTTATCCATCCAATCGCTGTGAAATGCCTGCGGCGCTCCAGAGAATGCGAGGGGAAGAAGAAGAAGAAGAAGAAAAACGTAGACGACTTGAGTTAAGTAGCGCGAGGAACGGTCACAGCATTTTTACCTGGTGCGTTTGTTCCAAGGATGTAAAGCGCCCCTGCCGTCACCGCGTAGGGAAGATGGCGGCCTGGGAAGCCCTCGGCTGAGGGAGAATTCTTGAGAGGACTTCCGTGCAAAAGAGGTGGGTTTGGGTTTGTTTTTGTTTTTTTTTTTTTAAGATTTTACTTATTTATTCATAGAGACACACACAGAGGCAGAGACCCAGGCCGAGGGAGAAGCAGGCTCCACGCAGGGAGCCCGACGCGGGACTCGATCCCGTGACCCCGGGGTCACGACCTGGGCCGAAGGCGGGTGCTCAACCGCTGAGCCCCCCGGGGATCCCCAAGAGGTGGTTTTCATTAAACCTCTACTGACAGGACCTGTGGACGGAAAGCTGCATGGGGTCGTGAGGGGTAGTGATTATACACCTTCAGCTTGGGGGGTAGTCTCTAAGTCTGTAAGTTTCAAAGGAATTCTGGAAACAAGGTTGCCGGGACCTTGAAGGGGTTGGTTATTGTTGGGAAAAGGTCATATATTATTGTCTAGTAAACCCTTAGGGCGCCCTGGTGGCTCAGCGGTTTAGCGCCACCTTCCGCCCAGGTCGTGACCCCGGGGTCCAGGAATCGAGTCCCTCATCAGGCTCCCTGCGTAGAGCCTGCTTCTCCCTCTGCCTGTGTCTCTGCCTGTCTGTGTGTGTGTGTGTGTGTGTGTGTCTCATGAATAAACAAATAAATTTTTTTTAATTTTTTTTTATTTATTTATGATAGTTACACACACAGAGAGAGAGAGAGAGAGAGGCAGAGACACAGGCAGAGGGAGAAGCAGGCTCCATGCACCGGGAGCCCGATGTGGGATTCGATCCTGAGCCTCCAAGATCGCGCCCTGGGCCAAAGGCAGGCGCCAAACCGCTGCGCCACCCAGGGATCCCAAACAAATAAAATCTTAAAAAAAAGATAAAAAAGAAAACCTTGGTCATAAGACCCTCCGCCTCCCCCCTTCCCCGCCAGATACATATCCATAGGTCCTGTGCTTGGAAGATGGTTGCTAACATGTATCTTGACTCCAGAATAAAAATAAAGGACGTTTCCAAAGGAATTTTTATATGTTAAAGAAGACCTGCAGGGTCCTGGCGGGTCAGGCCAAGGTTGCCCTTTTGCCCTTAGCAAAGCCAACATGGGGGCCGCTGAGCCCCTAGAAGAATGTCGCTCCGCCTGTTTCAAGGACTTGTCAATGGGCTGCAAGTAGGGAGGGAATTAATTTTCCTTCTGCCTTTGTTTCCCACATGATTATCGCCACTATTACCATCATTATTGACTTTTTTTTTCTTTTCATGTAAATTTGAAGTCCAGGTACCTTTCCTCCAAAAAAGTACGGTCTCAGCATTGGTGGGTCCCCTAAATTTGATGTGTTACATGACCGGACTAGTCAAGTGTAATCTCATGTCGTTTAAACCTGGAGCTCACCCTATTTCTGAAGTTCTTATGGGGATATCTAATACGTTTCCTTATTTTCTGATAGAGGTGAAGATTAGAGTTTAGGTAGCGCTAGTAATGTTGTAAGTGCCCAAAATTATTAGCTATTGTTGTTGAGACAGGGATTCCACTTCTTAGAGCCACAAGTATCCTTATCTGATTCTCTCTCTCTCTTTCTCTCTTTCCTATGTATAAGGAAAGGATCTGTTTTGCTACCTGTTAACTTCTAAGGATCCAGGGCAGGGGTAGGAGGTGGAGAGATGAGAGAGGGTTGACTAGAGTGCTGTCAGTTGTGGGGTGATATTAAATGGTCAAATGGCTGCTTTAAGAAATGCACTTAACAGCAACAGGATGGAACCACCGTGTCTAGTTTCTCTCTCAGCAGCAGCCTAGAACTATGAAACTAGAGTTTCTACGTATGGTAGTTGTTCATATACACGAAAGTATCATTTTTGCATATTAATATTCTAACTAAGTTATTTTATTGTTTGGAGTTGGATCTTTTAGATTTTCTATCATTACAGTCATGTCATTGAGATGATGACAAAATCCTTTCCAAATTTTTTTTTTTAAGGTTTTTTATTTATTTATTTATTTACGATAGGTACAGAGAGAGAGAGAGAGGCAGAGAAACAGGCAGAGGGAGAAGCAGGCTCCATGCACCGGGAGCCCGATGTGGGATTCGATCCCGGGTCTCCAGGATCGCGCCCTGGGCCAAAGGCAGGCGCCAAACCGCTGCGCCACCCAGGGATCCCCTTTCCAAATTTTATACCACTAATTTGTCATATCTAACTGTATTGGCTAGTTATTTCCAATAAAAATATTTAATAATAGTGAACATAGTATAGGCTTCTTTGTCTTATTCTACCTTTAACGGGACATCTCTAGAACTTTCCCATTAAGTATGCTACTGGCTTGGGAGACTAAGGTAAATCTTTTATCATATTAAGGAAGTGCCCAGCTACTAAGAGAATAGGAAAAATTTTGACACAAAGCATTGAGCATGCCCCTACATCTTCTCATAAAAGTAGGTATAAACTAGATAATATTTGCCTCAGAGACACTAATGAAATTCACATTAGCTAGGTTGGAATCAATGTTCTTTCTTAATCTTACATACTATCGTCATTAAATTGAATACTGACTAGGTTGTTTATAAGAAATCTCCCTGTGGAAAGGAGAGAAAATGTGTGGGTAATAGGGAGACAGAACATGAGCGACTCCTAACTCTGGGAAACGAACAAGGGGTGGTGGAAAGGGAGGTGGGGTGACAGGCACTGAGGGGGGCACTTGATGGGATGAGCACTGGGTGTTATGCTATATGTTGGCAAATTGAACTCCAATAAAAAAAAAAAGATTTGAAAATAAATAATAAATAAATAAATAAATAAATAAATAAATAAATAAATAAATAAATAAATAAATAAATAATTCCCCCTGTGATATGCTGATTTTTAACCCTGGAAAAGTTCTTTTTTATCTTTTATAGAATATCACCTTTAATCCAAAGTCTATGCTTGTTCTATACATTGTGGTAAATTGCATGGATCTACTATAGTTTGGTTATCAAAGTTGTGTCTGTCCAAATATGCTGGTTGTGGAAAATAGGAACATTTTATGATGATAGAGAGATTAGGTCATCAAGAGATATAACAGTCTTAAACTTGTATGCAGCGTAGCAGAGGTTTGATAAATGTGAAACCAAAAGTGAAAAGAGAATTAGAAAAATAAAAAATTACAGTGGGTGATTTTAACCTTCATGTCTCAGAAATTAATAGAACTAGACAAAACAGTAAGTGTATGGAAGACTGAAAAACATTACCAGCCAACTTGACCTATTGACATTTATAGAACACTTTGTAAAAAGCAAAATATCTTGTTTAAGTGCATAGAATATTCTCTTTTATGGGGTTCATAAAACAAATCTCAAATTTAAATATAGACTAAAATCACTCAATATGTTGTCTGACTATAATGCAATTATATGTGACATAATTAACTTATATTTATAATATATTTAATACATAATATAATTTAATTGGAAATTAATAATAGTAAGGTTTCTGAGAAAGCTCCAAATATTTTGAAATTAACATATTTTAAAATAGCCTATGGGTCAAAGAAGAAATCGCAAGGAAGTGGATAAATATCTTGAACTGAATAAAAATAAAAACATATCCAAAAGTGTAGAACACAGAGCAAGTGACGCTTAGAGGGAAAAATTATTGCTTTTTATGTTTATATTAGAAAAAATGGAAAACCTAAATTATGTAAGCTTCCACTTTAAGGGATTAAGAGGAAGAAAACAAAAGTAGGAGCAAAGGAAATAGATACTTTTGGAAATTAATTGAATAGAAAATGTGTTTCTTTTAAAACGTTAAATGGGTAAACATCTAGCTACAGATCTGATCAATCAAAAAAAAAAGAGGTTGGGAGACCAAATTACCAATATCAGAAATGAGAGAAAAGAAATCACAGATTCTATAGACATTAGAAATGAATAAATAAATAGGATTCTTCTAGTAATAGCTAAGTACTTCCTATTGAAGCAACCTTCCTACAGGTAAAAACTGCAAACTCTGGGCCAAGTAGAAAAAATAACTCCCTGAAAAGAACAGCACAAGAAGGTATACACTGGAGGAGAATTAGTGCTTTTAACTAGGGGTGGTGGAGGGGGAGGAGGGCGGGGGGTGGGGGTGAATGGGTGACGGGCACTGAGGGGGACACTTGACGGGATGAGCACTGGGTGTTATTCTGTATGTTGGTAAATTGAACACCAATAAAAATTAATTTATATAAAAAAAATGAAAAAAAAGAAATGAGACAGCGAATTTCCCATTTGTATGGCGTTTTGCCTGAGGGCAAACCCCAGTTGTTATTCTCAGTCCCAAAAGACAGAGTTTGGGACTACTAGAACAATTGCAAAGTAGGAGGTCATCAAAGAAAGGAAATCCCCAAAAGAAAGAAGTAAAAAAGGAAGAAGACCACATTCTGTGTATAAAATGCCTATATTTCTGTCTGACACCTGAAACACATGTGTGGAGCTGACTTTTGAGCTATTGAGAGCTCAAAAATTGAAGAGACATCATCTGCTGCCCACCACAGTTGAGACTAACAGAACTGAAGAGAAATAGACAAATTCACAATTATAATTGGAGCTTCTCTTCTTGCTTTCTGTTTAACAGTTGGAACTTTAAACAGTCTTCTCTCAGTAGTTAGTATGAGATCTAAATAAAAGTTTAGTAAAGGCTGTAGCATTATCAACCACCTACCTTGATCTAATTGTTTCTTTATAGGACACTGCACTCAACAACTGTAGAATACACATTCTTTTTAAATATACACACTTTGTTCACCAAAATACATCATAAGCCAGACTATGAAACAAGTCCTAATAAATTATAAAAGATTAAAATCATGCATTAGGTTTCCTATCAAAGATAGAATTAAATCAGAAATAAGTAATGGAAAAATATCTGGAAGACCCCTAAATATTTGTAGATATTTATATAGTAATGCATAGCTTTAATACTTGTTTTTCAAAAGAAGAAATGTATAACTCATGACCTAAGTTTCTACCTTAAGAAGCTGGGAAAGGTAGAGCAAGTAAGGCCAAAAAGGTAGACGGAAGTAAATACTAAAGATAAAAGCATAAATCAGTGCAATAGAA